GTAGATATGTTTGTACCTTGTGGGTTGTGTTATGGGCATGGGAATTTTGGTTAAGTTTCGTTGGGGTTTTTGAGTTTTGTTGTTTTGCCGTTTTGTGAGTGTGTTGTTGTGTTGTTTTTCATTTTGAGTAGATATGTTTGTACTTTGTGGGTTGTGTTATGAGCATGGGAATTTTGGTTAAGTTTCGTTGGGGTTTTTTTTAGTTTTGTTCTTTTGCCGTTTTGTGAGTGTGTTGTTGTGTTGTTTTTCATTTTGAGTAGATATGTTTGTACCTTGTGGGTTGTGTTATGGGCATGGGAATTTTGGTTAAGTTTCGTTGGGGGGTTTTGAGTTTTGTTTCCTCGTTGGATGCCCCTAACAAATTTATATATATAGATGTGCTGCAGGATGTCCCTCCCGCAAAAGCAAAGTTTTTGCTGTTTGATCAACTTTTCCCATGTTCTTATGATAGAACCAATTAGGAAATGACATTTAGAACCCAGTTTAAAAAATCATAGTGTTACATAGCATTGTTGTTATATGTTGTTGTTTTTGTTGTTTTGTTGCATCTTTAAGACCCACCAATGTATTTCTGCCTCTTCTTTTATGGACCATAACTTAATAAAAGATGAAAGTGGCCCAGAAAGCACAAAATACCCATTATTGGTATTTTCTCCCTCTCCTGTTTCTATACATATTTTATATCCTGGGTGTATCTACACTATAGAATTAATGCAGTTTGAAACCATTTCAACTATGACGGCTTATTATTATTATTATTATTATTATTATTATTTATTTATTTATTTATTTATTTATATCCCATTTTATCTCTCCCAAAAGGGACTCAAATCATCTGAACATGAAAACATTAGCATACAATTTAAAATAGTACCAATATGCAAACATTGAAACAGGATTATATATGAACAGTATTAAAATTCCCTGTGAAAAACCATTGAAAACCACAAAACCCATCTTGACCCCAGATGGGGTTCCCTAAGCTCAATGTTGGAGTTGCAAAAAAAATGGCAATAGTAAATATGTTAACAATAACCTGTAGTGACCACATTTCTGTGTACGAACCTACACGATCTCTTCGATCATCCGGAGAGGCCCTGCTCGCGCCCCCACCTCCTTTGCAGGCGCGATTGGTGGGGACAAGGGAGAGGGCCTTCTCGGTGGTGGCCCCCAACTCTGGAACTCACTTCCCAAGGACATCAGGCATGCCCCAACTCTGACAGTGTTTAGGAGGAGCCTGAAAACGTGGTTGTTCCAGTGTGCCTTCCCAGAATAAGGAAAACTCCCAGCAATATTTATTTATTTATTTATTATTATAAATAATATAATAAATATGTCCTCAAATGCACTTTAACATTGATTTAGGATCGCCTGCGCACCCTCATCTTTCTTTGAAAACCCTATCCTAGTTATATCCTAATGCCCAGCATTATTTTTGAAGTTTTAAATTATTACATTTGGCCTGGCAATAGGTTTTTAAAAGCTTGTATGTTATTGTTCATTGTTATTGTTTATTTTTGTTTATGAGATTTATTTTACTGTTTTGTATTGATTATTTTGTTATTGCCTTCTTTTTATTGATATGTTGATGGGCTTGGCCTCATGTAAGCCGCACCGAGTCCCTTGGGGAGATGGTAGCGGGGTACAAATTTATTTATTTATTTATGTATTTACAGTATTTATATTCCGCCCTTCTCACCCTGCAGGGGACTCAGGGCGGATTACAGTGTACACATATATGGCAAACATTCATATTCCGCCCTTCTCACCCCGCAGGGGACTCAGGGCGGATTACAGTGTACACATATATGGCAAACATTCATATTCCGCCCTTCTCACCCCGCAGGGGACTCAGGGCGGATTACAGTGTACACATATATGGCAAACATTCATATTCCGCCCTTCTCACCCCGCAGGGGACTCAGGGCGGATTACAGTGTACACATATATGGCAAACATTCATATTCCGCCCTTCTCACCCCGCAGGGGACTCAGGGCGGATTACAGTGTACACATATATGGCAAACATTCATATTCCGCCCTTCTCACCCCGCAGGGGACTCAGGGCGGATTACAGTGTACACATATATGGCAAACATTCATATTCCGCCCTTCTCACCCCGCAGGGGACTCAGGGCGGATTACAGTGTACACATATATGGCAAACATTCATATTCCGCCCTTCTCACCCCGCAGGGGACTCAGGGCGGATTACAGTGTACACATATATGGCAAACATTCATATTCCGCCCTTCTCACCCCGCAGGGGACTCAGGGCGGATTACAGTGTACACATATTTGTTTACAGCTTTTATATTCTGCCCTTCTCACCCCGCAGGGGACTCAGGGCGGATTACAGTGTACACATATATGGCAAACATTCAATTCCAATTTTAACATACCACATATACAGACATACACAGAGGCTATTTCACTTTTTCTGGCCGCCAGGGAAGCTGTCGCTTTAATCGTCCATCTGCGACGCTGATGACTTTCGCATTCCCCGCATTCTTTTTCTGAAGTCTTTTTTAATGGCCTCATAAATCACTTAATTTAGCCTCCCCACACTTTAAGGTGGTACCTTATTTTCCTACTTGACCTACCTTATTTTCCTACTTGACAGATGCAACTGTCTTTCAGGTTGCAAAGGTAGACAACAGGCTACACACAATTGGTTGGAAACCCACTCCAACCCAGGCTGGCTTCGAACTCATGACCTTTTGGTCAGAGTGATCTTAATGCAGCTGACACTCAGCCAGCTGCGCCACAATCTCGGTGCCTAAATAAATAATAATAATAATAATAATAATAATAATAATAATAATAATAATTATTATTATTATTATTGTTTACATTGGACTGCAGAAAATGTTTCACCCTGAATCTCATAAAAAGGGAGCAATCCCTTGTAAATGCTGATTTGCTTTCAGTAAATATTTGAGTTCATACCTATTTTATATACCTAGGATTGTGGAAAAATTACTTGGGTGGAAAGGGGGTCACAATAGAAGCTCCTGCCAGATCCTGATCAGCTTCCCGTTGTGAACTTCGACACAGAAGGTTATTATTTTCTTAGGTCCAGTTCTGACATTGGCTTTCCTTCCCAATGACCACATCTTATTTTTCTTTCAAAAGCAAATCCTCTTTGTGTCGGTGTTTCTGCGATTGTTATTATGGGATGGAGTGGGCAATGTGTGGCCCTATGGGTCCCTTTTCAGTGGGTTTGCGACCCTTGGTGGCACAGCATTTCTAAACGTAGAGAAAAGACTGTTTGATGAACATGTGTTTGATTGACAGCACCTGGGTATGTCTGTGAATGTCATGATGCAATGCCTAAGGGAATGTGGTAACTGGCTGAGTCACAATCATGATGTTCTCTCTTATGTTTGTTATAACAGGCTGTGCTTTTTATTTAATTTTAGTTTGTTAAGTTATAATTCGTATTTATATGTTGAGTTGTATACATTTTGTTAGTATGGATGTATTGTTGTTGTATTCGGGCACTGAATAATTGCCTTTTGTGGTTGGAATCTGCCCTGAGTCCCTTTGGGGAGATTTATATTTACGGAATATAAATAAAGTTGTTGTTGTTGTTGTTGTTGTTGTTATTATTATGATGTAAGGGTTATTGCAAAGGCAGAAACAGAAGAACGGCCTGCCTCAGGGGAGCGTGCTTGCTCCATCCATGTTCAGCATCTACACAAATGACCAGCCACTGCCAGAAGGGACAGAGAGCTTCATCTATGCTGACGATCGTGCCATCACCGCTCAAGCAGGGAGCTTTGAGATGGTTGAACAGAAGCTCTCTGAAGCTCCAGGTGCTCTTACTGCCTCTTACAGGGAAAACCAGCGGATCCCTAATCCATCTAAAACACAGACGTCTGCTTTTCATCTCAAGAACAGACAAGCATCACAAGCTCTGAGGATCACCTGGGAAGGAATCCCACTGGAGCATTGCAGCACACCCAAATACCTGGGAGTCACTCTGGACCGTGCTCTGACCTACAAGAAGCACTGCCTGAACATCAAGCAAAAAGTGGGTGCTAGAAACAATATCATACGAAAGCTGACTGGCACAACCTGGGGATCACAACCAGACACAGTGAAGACATCTGCCCTTGCGCTTTGCTACTCTGCTGCTGAGTATGCATGCCCAGTGTGGAACACATCTCACCACACTAAAACAGTGGATGTGGCTCTTAATGAGACATGGCGCATTATCACGGGGTGTCTGCGCCCTACACCACTGGAGAAATTACACTGTCTAGCCGGTATTGCACCACCTGACATCCGCCAAGTAGCAGCCAATAGTGAAAGGACCAAGGCAGTGACATCTCCAGCTCATCCCTTGTTTGGGTATCAGCCAGCACGTCAACGACTTAAATCAAGAAATAGTTTTCTAAGATCTACAGAGACACTCGCTGGAACACCCCAGCAAGTGAGAGTCCAAAAGTGGCAGGCTCAAACCCAGAACCTCAATCAATGGCTGATACCAAATGAGAGACTCCCCCCTGGGCACACAGAAGACTGGGCGACTTGGAAGGCGCTGAACAGACTGCGCTCTGGCACCATGAGATGCAGAGCCAACCTTAAGAAATGGGGCTACAAAGTGGAATCCACGACATGCGAGTGTAGAGAAGAGCAAACCACAGACCACCTGCTGCAATGCACCCTGAGCCCTGCCACATGCACAATGGAGGACCTTCTTGCAGCAACACCAGAGGCACTCCAAGTGGCCAGATACTGGTCAAAAGACATTTAATCAACTACCAAACTCACAAATTTTGTATTTTGTCTGTTTGTTTGCTTTTTTCTTTTAGAAATGTAATATAATTGACTGGTTGCCCTGACACGACAAATAAAAAAGGGAGGTCATGATTTGGAAACTATAAATCACATACCAGCATCCCATGAGAGACCCCTAGAGTGACCTTTCACCTGGGTATCCACCTGCAGAGGATACCAAAGGAGGAAAAATAGGTCTCATGGGAAAACGTTACCTATAGATGGGGATTTGAAGGGGTATTTGTCGGGAAGGTCCACTCTAACTTTCCACACGCCACCTTCGTACGGTGCTGCAAGGAGAGAAGGAAGGCAGGTCAGTCGTGCAAACAAAACAAGGCAAATCTCTATGAAAGGTCTGTTATGTTGGGCATCTAAGACACAGGCATGGCTTGAGATGATCTAAAATCATTGCAAATATCTCCTTTTAAAAGTCTTACGTGGGAAAGCCCACTCAAGAGGATTATTGGCCTCTGAAGAGACATGTAGGTAAAGGTAAAGGTAGTCCCCTGACATTAAGTCCAGTCATGTCTGACTCTGGGGTGTGGTGCTCATCTCCATTTCTAAGCCGAAGAGCCAGCGTTGTCCATAGACACCTCCAAGGTCATGTGGCCACTGGCATGACTGCATGGAGCGCCGTTACCTTCCCGCCAGAGCGGTACCTATTGATTGATACACACATTTGCATGTTTTCGAACTGCTAGGTTGGCAGAAGCTAGGGCTGACAGCGGAAGCTCACCCCGCTCCCCAGTATCGAACCTGTGACCTTTTGATCAACAAGCTGAGCAGCTCAGTGCTTTAACCCACTGTGCCACGGGGGGCTCTGAAGAGACATGTAGATGATGGTAATAATAATAATAATAACAACCATCATCTACATCATCTACAAGAGACATGTAGATGATGGTTATTATTATTATTATTATTATTATTATTATTATTATTATTATTATTATTATTTCTTATCCACCCCTCCTCCTCGTGGCTCAAGGCAGGCCACAGCACTGTCCACAACATATAAACATTGCAAAAAATTATATAAACACATGTATTAAAAAGACAGTTCTGTAATAACAATTATAGTAATAGTCATTATTATTATTTCTTATCCACTTCTCCTCCTTGTGGCTCAAGGCAGGCCACAGCACCGTCCACAAACATTGCAAAAAATTATATAAACACATGTATCAAAAAGGTAGTTCTGCAATAATAATTATAATAATAGTCATTATTATTCTCGAAGGCTTTCATGGCCGGAATCCCTGGGTTGTTGTAGGTTTTTTCAGGCTATATGGCCATGTTCTAGAGGCATTTTGTCCTGACATTTCGCCTGCATCTGTGGCAAACATCCTCAGAGGTAGTGAGGTCTGTTGGAACTAGGAAAAAGGGTTTATATATCTGTGGAATGACCAGGGTGGGACAAAGGACTCTTGTCTGTTGGAGCTAGGTGTGAATGTTTCAACTGACTATCTTGATTAGCATTTGATTGCCTGGCAGTGCCTGGAGCAAACTTTTGTTGAGAGGTGATTAGATGCCCTTGTTTGTTTCCTCTCTGTTGTTGTGCTGTTCTAATTTTAGAGTTGAAATTGTCCACAAACTACACAGAGAAGCCACTGAAATCCACAAGAAGCAGGTGGACAATTTCCACAGAAAGGAGGAAACCATGAAAATGAACAAAATCTGGCTACCAGTATTAAAAAAAACTCTTTCTCTCCTTCCTTCTGTATCTTCCTTTCTTTCCTTCTTTCCCTATTATTTCCCTCTTTCTCTCCTTCCTTCTTTCTCTACCTTTCTTTCTTTCCCTCTTTCCTTCCCCCTTTCTGTTTATGTGTTTTGTGTGTGTATATGCATATATGTGTGTTTGTGTATCTTTATGTGGTTTTGCACATGCGTTGTAATTTTTGCGTGTTTTGTTTTGGCTTTTTAAGTCCCTTCTGCTATGTTTTTCTGTGTCTTTTTGAGTGAAGGACATACATTGGTGTCTTGTGTCCAAATCTGGTGTCAATTCCCCCAGTGGTTTTTGAGTTGTGTTCATCCCACAAACGAAGGTGACATTTGTGTTTCTCTAGATTGTGCTCTGGCTGTGTGGGAGGGCCCAGGAAGCCACCCCAATAACGGGAAGGTTCCTCCGTTTTTTACCGCCTAAGGACGCCTTTCAGCTTCTTATATATATAGATAATAATAATAATAATAATAATGATATCCCATTCCATCTCTCCTGAAGGACACTCAAAGTGGCTTACAATGAAAACTATGACCATAAAATTAAAAATATACCAGTTTGCAAACATTAATACCACTGCTTGAAGGCTTAGGGTGCATCTACATTACAGAATTAATGCAGTTTGACCCCACTTTTGACTGCCATGGCTCAACGCTATGGAACCCTGGGAGTTATAGTTTGGTGTAGTCACCGGCACTCTTTGGCAGAGTAGACAAAAGATCTTGTGAAACTACAATTCCCCTTATTTCATCGCATTGAGCCGCAAACAACAGCAATGGGACAGATCCTGTGTGCAATCCAAAGCTTTCCAAACCCCATGTTTGCTTTCTTCCCCTTTTCGATGGAAACAGTAATGCAACCAGCTTTTCTCTTTGTTTTTCTCCTTTCAAAAGGGAGCGGAAAACTTTATTTTAAAATAGATTTAGACACTCAAGAGTGGCTTGGGAAGGACCCTATGTCGGGCTGATGGTATCAAGAAGTGTGTATGTTGTCAATGCCAAAGGCGTTCTTCTGGAGCTAGAAACGTTTTTCGGAAAAGGCCAGAGTTTGACGTGGAAATCTACCGAGAAGCACAGGAGGCCTGTCTGGAATATTCCAAATCCTTTCAAGGACACCATCGAACTAGGAGGGATTCAGAAGTTAACCCCAAACAACTCACCTATATCAACTTATGCATAACTCAACCTTAAGGGCAGGTTTTGGGGGCAAAATTATGGATTTGGATGTGAGCCCTAGATAAGCTGAAGGTCATTCTGCAGAGAAGGGAAAAGGTCAGTTGTCAAATCTTTTAAAAGCCCAGAATTGGCATTGCAATGGAGAGAGAATAAGGGGGGGGGGGGGATCAGTGCTTTTTGGGGTCCTCCCAATACAGACGAAGCTCTTGCTTTTGCAGCTTTACTCAGAGAAGGTGATAACAGAAACAGAAAGGTGGAAACCATGAAAATGAACAAAATCTGGCTACCAGTATTAAAAAAAACTCTAAAATTAGAACAGCACAACAACAGAGAGGAAACAAACAAAGACATATAATCACCTCTCAACAAAAGATTGCTCCAGGCACTGCCAGGCAATCAAATGCTAATCAAGGTGGTCAGCTGAAACATTCACACCTAGCTCCAGCAGACAAGAGTTCTTTGTCCCACCCTGGTCATGCCACAGATATATAGACCCCTTTTCCTAGTTCCAACAGACCTCACTACCTCTGAGGATGCTTGCCACAGGTGTAGGCGAAACGTCAGGAGAGAATGCCTCTAGAACATGGCCATATAGCCCAAAAAAACCTACACCATCCGATAAAATGTACGTTTCTCACCTTGACCCATAGATAAGCCAACCTAGGTTTGGGGGCATCAATTGTTTCCAGACTTATACAGAGATTTTAGTAAGGAGATGCTGCAGATTATGTTTTTATGGCTTTGTTTGGTTTTTTTATATTACATGTTAATGTTTTAATTGTATTTATAATCTGTTTTTAACTTGCATTTTATAGTTGTGGAGGCATCAAATTGTTGGCAATGATGAACCGCCCTGAGTCGCCTTTGGGCTGAGAAAGGCGGGATATAAAGGTGGTAAATATATAAATAAATAATACAAGGATGCTTTTAATTGCCAATGAGTCCACTTTGACTTAAAACTATGAATGAGAGACACTTCCAAATTGCAGTATTCCCAACAGCTCGAGTTCGTGCCTTAATTACTAACCCTGACTTATTAGGACTATTCATCTGGTTGGAGTAAACTTAAGCAAACATTCAATTCCATTGAATTAAATCTGGCCATATATGAAAGCCTATCAGATATTATTATTATTATTATTATTATTATTATTATTATTATTATTATTATTATTATTATTATTAGAAACACAACAAGATGAGTCCAGAGCAGACAAGATCACTTTGCTGTATTACTACTACTACTACTACTATTATTATTATTATTATTATTATTATTATTATTATTATTATTACCCCTCTTTATCTTTCCTGGAGGAGATTCCATGTGGCTTACAATTAAAAGGATGACATACATAATTGAATGTACAAATATGCAAGGTATAGAGCCAGCCCTTCACATTTGTTGGGTTTAGGGGCATGAAACCTCCACGAAAGTGAAAAAATACGAATATATGTCTATGTTTCATATACCTGGGAGGTATAAAAAAATCATTCACACTTTGAACTCTTTGTTGTGTTTACATTAACTAATTTTGCTGTCTATTTTCTTTATCCTCCTTTTGTTCCATACCTAGATTGATCGAGCGAGCGAGCGATCTATTAGACATGTGCATTCAGGGTAAACCTTGTCCTGTTTCATGTCCTGGCTTTCACTGGGGACCCATATCCGTTTTTTGTAAGCCTCCCAAATTGGGAGAGTTGTTTTCGGCTATTTTGTTTTAGGGCCCGAAAATCTGAACTTTATGGGGGGGGGAAGGGCCTCCCACCCATTGGCTTCCCTTCCTGGTTTGTGGTGTTCTTACTTGAAACCTGCTGCTTCTACTCTAGAGTAGGAGGCCCTCAGCTGAAGGAAGTGGCAGCCCTGTGTATGCTTTCCAGGCCTACGCTGCTTGCACACCCAGAAAGTGTGTGCGCCTGTCAGTACCTGCAGTTGAGCACCTCTTACTCTAGAGTAAGAGGTGCTCAGCTACAGGTGTGCTCCTCGCCTGCCTACACATGCAGCCACACGCTCTGCGAATGCGTTTACGGCAGGGCATGCAGGCAGGCCCGGAAAGTGCGTGTGCCTGCCAGTACTTGAAACCGAGTGCCTCTTACTCTAGAGTAAGTGGCGCTCAGCTGCAGGCATGCTCTGGGCCTGCCTATATGCCCTGCCACACATTCCATGAGTGCGTGTATCGCAGGGCATGCAGGCAGGCCCGGAAAGTGCGTGTGCCTGCCAGTACTTGAAACCGAGTGCCTCTTACTCTAGAGTAAGTGGCGCTCAGCTGCAGGCATGCTCTGGGCCTGCCTATATGCCCTGCCACACATTCCATGAGTGCGTGTATCGCAGGGCATGCAGGCAGGCCCAGAATGTGCATGCACCTGCCACTACCTGCAGCTGAGCACCTCTTACTCTAGAGTAAGAGGTGCTCAGCTGCAGGCATGCTTTGTGACTGCCTATATGCCCCATCACACACCCCCGCCACACTCCCTGAGTGTGCGTGTCTGGCGGGGTGTGCAGGCAGACCCAGAGGATGCCTGCAGGCAAGCGCCGGGCTGGCCTGACCTACAAGAACCACTGCCTGAACATCAAGCAAAAAGTGGGTGCTAGAAACAATATCATACGAAAGCTGACTGGCACAACCTGGGGATCACAACCAGACACAGTGAAGACATCCGCCCTTGCGCTGTGCTACTCTGCTGCTGAGTATGCATGCCCAGTGTGGAACACATCTCACCACGCTGAAACAGTGGATGTGGCTCTTAATGAGTCACATTATCACGGGGTGTCTGCGCCCTACACCACTGGAGAAATTACACTGCTTAGCCCGTATTGCACCACCTGACATCCGCCGGGAAGTAGCAGCCAATAGTGAAAGGACCAAGGCAGTGACATCTCCAGCTCATCCCTTGTTTGGGTATCAGCCAGCATGTCAACGACTTAAATCAAGAAATAGTTTTCTAAGATCTCCAGAGAGACTCGCTGGAACACCTCAGCAAGCGAGAGTCCAAAAGTGGCAGGCTCAAACCCAGAACCTCAACCAATGGCTGATACCAAATGAGAGACTCCCCCCTGGGCACACAGAGGACTGGGCGACTTGGAAGGCGCTGAACAGACTGCGCTCTGGCACCACGAGATGCAGAGCCAACTTTAGGAAATGGGGCCACAAAGTGGAATCCACAACATGCAAGCGTGGAGAGGAGCAAACCACTGACCACCTGCTGCAATGCAACCTGAGCCCTGCCACATGCACCATGGAGGACCTTCTTGCAGCAACACCAGAGGCACTCCAAGTGGCCAGATACTGGTCAAAGGACATTTAATCAACTACCAAGCTTGCAAACTTTGTTTTGTCTGTTTGTTAAAAATGTGTTTAAAATGTAATACTATTGTCTGGTTGCTACTGACATGATAGATAAATAAATAAACTACTACTACTACTACTACTACTACTACTAATAATAATAATAATAATAATAATAATAATAATAAGGTCTGATGGATCTGGATCAAATTTGGTACATAGGCCCTTCATTATCCAACTTAAAATAATTTTGGTTTTTTTGTCTGTTGCCATATTTTGAATATACTCAATTATTGGGGACATAGACAAGTATGAAAAGACCTCCACCCTCACCTGATTCGGACATCTTGCATTTCCCACAATGTTTTATTTCCTCATTGGGAAACTTCTTTAAAAAATGCAGCTTTTTGTATAGTACTAGCTACTCAAAGCATTGCAAAAGGTGATGTATATATTTGCGTACTTACTTCCTTGTGGTCCATAGAACTTTACTACAAACTCGTTGAGTCCTCCCAGGATCGTGACCTCGTGCTTGCTTTCAATGCTGGAGAGGAAGCAAAGTCAAGGAAAGTTCGAAAAACAAGGAAATGTTCAGAAAACTTGCAAATGGAATGGTGGCAACCCCAAGCAAACCTGGATTAATTCTCCCCATAGTATCTATATACATAAAAATGTAATGTTTGTTTGTGGGATTAACAGAACTCAAAAACCACTGGACGAATTGACACCAAATTTGGACACAAGACACCTAACAACCCAATGTATGTCCTTCACTCAAAGAAATTGATTTTGTCATTTGGGAGTTGTAGTTGCTGGGATTTATAGTTCACCTACAACCACAGAGCATTCTGAACTCCACCAATGATGGAATCGAACCAAACTCGGCACACAGTTCTCCCATGACCAACAGAAAATACTGGAAGGGTTTGGTGGGCATTGACCTTTGGTTTTGGAGTTGTAGTTCACCTACATCCAGGACTCAAACAGTGATGGATCTGGACCAAACTCTACACGAATACTCAATATGCCCAAATGTGAACACTGGTGGAGTTTGGGGAAAATAGAATCTTGACATTTGGGAGTTGTAGTTGCTGGGATTTATAGTTCACCTACAATCACAGAGCATTCTGAACCCCACCACCGATGGAATTGAACCAAACTCGGCACACAGTTCTCCCATGACAGCAGAAAATACTGGAAGGGTTTGGTGGGCATTGACCTTTGGTTTTGGAGTTGTAGTTCACCTACATCCAGAGATCACTGTGGACTCAAACAATGATGGATCTGGACCAAACTACATGAATACTCGATATGTCCAAATGTGAACACTGGTGGAGTTTGGGGAAAATAGAATCTTGACATTTGGGAGTTGTAGTTGCAGGGATTTATAGTTTACCTATAATCAAAGAGAATTTCGAACCCCACCAATGATAGAATTGGGCCAAACCTCCCACACAGAACAGCCATGTGGGCCACAGCAATGTGTGGCAGGGGACGACTAGTTATAGAATATATTTGACGTTATAGCCATTGATTAAAGTGCAGAGAAGTATCTAACAGATAATAATAGAGTGCAGAGAACTGAATCGTTCCAAGTCAACAAGTTTGTTGTTGTTGATCTACATCATGCCTTTTGTTTACTAGTTTAGGACTCAAGGGATGCTACAGAAGTTAACACAGACCTCTATCTATCTATCTATCTATCTATCTATCTATCTATCTATCTATCTATCTATCTATCTATCTATCAAAAGTCAAAGTTTGTTTGTTTGTATGTATCTATGCTTGTTTGTATTTATTTTGCAAGATGGCCCAGAGAGCACTGTGACTCCCGCTGACAACGAATCTGGACCAAACTTGGCACACAGACCCTCCCCCCAAAAGACCAACAGATAATGGTGGGAGGGTTTGGGGAAAATGGGCCTTGGATTTTGGGAGTTGTAGTTCACTTACAAACAGAGAGCACCGTTGAACCCAAACAATGATAGATCTGGACCAAACTTGGCAAGCAGACGCAGCATGACCAACAGATAATGAATGCTAGAAGTCTTTGTAGGAAATGGAGCTGGAATTCTGGGAGTTGTAGTTCACCCATATCCAGGCATCATTCTGAACAGAGCTAACAATGGATCTGAACCAAACTTAACAAGCAGATGCAGCATGACCAACAGATAATGAATGCTGGAAGCGTTTGGGGGAAATGGACTTTGAATTCTAGGAGTTGTAGTTCCCCCATATCCAGGCATCACTCTGAACCCAGCCAACAATGGATCTGGACCAAACTTGGCAAGCAGACCCAGCATGTCCAACAGATAGTGCTGGATGGGTTTGGGGGAAATGAACCTTGGATTTTGGGAGTTGTAGTTCATCCACATTCAGATGTCACTCTGAACCAGCCAACAATGGATCTGGACCAAACTTGGCAAGCAGATGCAGCATGACCAACAGATAATGCTGGATGGGTTTGGGGGAAATGAACCTTGGATTTTGGGAATTGTTGTTCATATTCAGATGCCACTTTGAACCCAGCCAACAATGGATCTGGACCAAACTTGGTAAGCAGATGCAGCATGACCAACATATAATGCTGGATGAGTTTGGGGAAAATGAACCTTGGATTTTGGGAGTTGTAGTTCATCCACATTCAGATGTCACTCTGAACCAGCCAACAATGGATCTGGACCAAACTTGGCAAGCGGACCCAGCTTGACCAACAGATAAAGCTGGATGAGGTTGGGGTAAATCAAAATAAATACATATACAGTATTATCATCATTATCAAATGCCACATCTCATCAAATGCATCCTATTAAAGCAAACCCACTCCATTGCCAGCACTCTCACAATCCCGGGGAGAAATTTGCAAGCATCTTGAACCCTTAACCCATAAACTAGAAGCCAAAGGACACGATTCCCCCTCCAGCTCCAGAGTAAATGCTCCGCAAGAGGAAACAACAGCGCATGAGTGGAGTGCAAGACCAATGCATGCAAGTCGAACTAATTGCCTTTGTCCTCAAGTAACCTACTGAGAGGGACGTCTTTTCCAAGGGCAAGCCCTGCCAATCCTGAAGGAGACAATGGGAATATTATTTCCAGAAGAAGCAGCTGCCTTCTGGAAGGAAAAAAAAAAGCAGCTGCCGATCGAAGGGAACGTGGAATGACATTTTTGAGGAATGCCGCAAGACTTGAGTGATCGAGTGCTGAAGTGAGAACAAACACAGACTCAGGCCAGGATCCTATCATATATGGATCATTCAAGCATGGAATAATAGCCTTGAAGGAAAAGTAATGCCTCCACCTTCATAACTCCTCAACAGATGGCAGTGCTGGAATGCAGCAGGTACTGGCTCGTTCAGTAGACTCTCCTCTACAGTTCCATTTTGGCAGTAAGCCTTACCATTGAACGGTTGTGTTGTTAAAGTGCAAAGTATGGAACCGTGCACAGACGGTCGGTCAATGCGACTTAAGCAACGTATGCGGCAGGTACTGGCTTGTTCAGTAGACTCTCCTCTACAGTTCCATTTTGGTGGGAAGCTTTATCATTGAACGGTTGTGTTATGGAACCCTGCGCAGACGGTCGGGTCAATGCGACTTAAGCAATTTATGCGGCAGGTATTGGCTTGTTCAGTAGACTCTCCTCTACTGTTCCATTTTGGCAGGAAGCTTTAGCATTGAACAGTTGTGTTGTTAAAGTGCAAAGTATGGAACCCTGGGCAGATGGTCAGTCAATGCGACTTAAGCAACATATGCGCCCGATACTGGCTTGTTCAGGAGACTCTCCTCTACAGTTCCATTTTGGTGGGAAGCTTTAGCATTGAACGGTTGTGTTGTTAAAGTGCGAAGTATGGAACCCTGCACAGATGGTCAGTCAATGCGACATAAGCAACGTGCAGCCATTGAATTCTTGACAGCAAAAGGTGTCACCCCAAAGGAGATTCATCATGGAATGCAAGCTCTTTATGGGGATTGTGTTGATGTGAGTACTGTGCGTCATTGGGCAAGAAAGTTTAAAGATGTTGAGGTGACACCTTCTGCTGTGAAGAATTCAATGGCTGCACGTTGCTTAAGTCGCATTGACTGACCGTCTGCATAGGGTTCAATACTTTGCACTTTAACAACACAACTGTTCAATGCTAAGGCTTCCCGCCAAAATGGAACTGTAAAGGAGAGTCTACTGAACAAGCCAGTACCTGCTGCATACCAGTACTGTCATCTGTTAAGGAGTTACAAAGGTGGAGGCATTACTTTTCATTCAACCCTTGTACAATACAGTCCAAAGGAGAGTCTACTGAACAAGCCAGTACCTGCTGCATACCAGTGCTGTCATCTGTTGAGGAGTTACGAAGGTGGAGGCATTACTTTTCATTCAACCCTCATACAATCCAGTCCAAAGGAGAGTCTACTGAACAAGCCAGTATCTTCTGCATACCAGTATTGTCATCTGTTGAGGAGTTACGAAGGTGGAGGCATTACTTTTCATTCAACCTGCGTACAATCCAGTCCAAATGAGGGTCTACTGAACAAGCCAGTACCTGCTGCATACCAGTACTGTCATCTGTTGAGGAGTTACGAAAGTGGAGGCATTACTTTTCATTCAACCCTCGTACAATCCAGTCCAAAGGAGAGTCTACTGAACAAGCCAGTACCTGCTGCATACCAGTACTGTCATCTGTTGAGGAGTTACGAAGGTGGAGGCATTACTTTTCATTCAACCCTCGTACAATCCAATCCAAAGGAGAGTCTACTGAACAAACCAGTACCTGCTGCAGGAGTTATGAAGGTGCAGGCATTACTTTTCATTCAACCCTCGTATAACCCAGTCCAATCCTATTCTGGAACACACTATTTATTGGATATATATATATGCCACTTTTCTTCCAAAATGGGGTTACAGATCAAGATGGAGAAACACTGCTATGCTTCCTACACTAGCTGCAGGAAATCTGCTGACTGGAGGGTAGACAGTTCAAAGCCGCAAGTCAGGGGGAGCTCCTGCTGTTAGCTCTAGCTTCTGCCAACCTAGCAGTTCGAAACAATCTAATGCGAGTAGATCAATAGGTACCGCCTCGACGGGAAGGTAAAAGGGATGCAGACATGCCAGCAACACGATTGGAGAGGTCTATGGACAACAGGCTCCTCGACATGGAAAAATGGAACAAAAACACCTTCTCATGCCCAGAGTTGAGCATTGCCTCCAGACGCCGGAGATGGAAAAGGGGAGGCCTTTACTTCTGTCTGTGTATTGTATGTCGTTGTTGTTCATGGTGTAAAAGACCCTGAATGTTTATCTTGTATGTGTATACTGCAATTCTCTCTGAGTCCTCTGATGAGATAAAGCAGAGTATTAAATAAAGTGTATTATTATCATTATTATTATTATTAAACCTTAGACTTCTTCACCAGTTTGTATAGAGTGTATTCTCATCCAATACATAGATAATGTTATTATTACTATTACTATTATTATATATCTGAAGGAAAAGAAAATACTTTAGGTTACAACAACACCTGTTATAGAACTCCAGTATGCCGATGACAACATCG